GATCGGGAAAAATCGGTATCGGCAGATTGTCAAAATCAAATGATCGGAATCGGATCGGGAGCAAAAAAAGGTGATCGGGACATCCCTAGTCCTGAGGTGTCTTTAGTGCGAGTGATGGAGTGGTTCTCATGTTACAGGACAGTGGGCAACGGCTGTCATTTAAAAGCAGGATGCTCAATCCCTCATGTGCCAAACTCACAACATGTCCATGTGGCAAGGACAGGACGTGCATTCACTGAGGGTACAAATACACCCGCTTCACTCCAGCACATGCATCCCTGCACCTTCCAGACAAACACTGCTGTTAAGATCAATGTGTGTATGTTACAATGCTTATAAGAAGGGTTTTAAACATGACTGATGATGAAATAAAGACACACGAAAAGTAAAGTATGAGTCTATATTTCAAAAGGTTAAGAAAATGCAATGTGGAAGATCGTGCAAAGAAAACCTCTCTGATTTTCTTATATAATTGTGGCAAAGCATGGAGGTTAATATGTGAAGTTTAGATGAGAAAACATTTATAATAATCAAACATTTGAGCAAGTTCTTTGTAAAACAATCTATATTCTGAAAACACAGATTGGTGAGAAGGTTTGCAGAGCCCGATTCATGAAGCGTTAACGACCACACGGTGAGAGTTTGACGTCTCACAGCAAAAAGTCAAACCGGTCCCTGAAGATATCAGCAGGTTACACGAGAGGTGTCAAGCAAATGAAACATGTATAGAGGTTGGATGGTGAAGCAAATGCTGCGAAATAGTTTAAAAACCTCTGGACGTCATATAGAAATGATTCAGTTACTGCAGAGGGAGCAGATGTACACATATTTCTAGTAGAGACTAATCATGTTCCTGATAAGTCACAATAAACAAAAATATTAATAATAAAAGACCAATGGGATCCTTATAGTAACTAAGGACAGCTGTGATGCGCTGTGTTTGTGGAAGAGGCTGTTAAAAGGCGCAGATCTTGAACTAAAACCACAATTAACTTCCCATAATGCGGCATGCCATATTAGAGTTCCAGATTAAATCAATTAGTTGTCAGCAATTAAATTAATGGGGCACTATTTTCATAATGAATTTTAATCAGTCATTTTTAGGGAAATATAGTCAAAAAGATCCTCTGATGTCTGCTTCTTAACTGAATATGTTCTGGTTGCTTAACTCCTCTACGAAAGTAAACTGAATATCTTTAAATTGTGGACAAAACAAGAGATTTGAGGACGTCATATTGGGGAACATTGATTAGTATTTTCCACAATTTTCTGACAACTATCGACCAACAACTAATCAAATAACAAATACATTGTTGAGCGATCTGAGTCACTGTCTGCCGCTCATTAACATGAGTTAATCAGGACCAGAACCTCTCTCCATCAGGACCAGAACCTCTCTCCATCAGGACCAGAACCTCTCTCCATCAGGACCAACACCTCTCTCCATCAGGACCAACACCTCTCTCCATCAGGACCAGAACCTCGCTCCATCAGGACCAGAACCTCTCTCCATCAGGACCAGAACCTCTCTCCATCAGGACCAGAACCTCTCTCCATAAGGACCAACACAACTCTCCATCAGGACCAGAACCTCTCTCCATCAGAACCAGAACCTCTCTCCATCAGGACCAAAACCTCTCTCCATCAGGACCAGAACCTCTCTCCATCAGGACCAACACCTCTCTCCATCAGGACCAACACCTCTCTCCATCAGGACCAGAACCTCTCTCCATCAGGACCAAACCTCTCTCCATCAGGACCAGACACCTCTCTCCATCAGGACCAGAACCTCTCTCCATCAGGACCAGAACCTCTCTCCATCAGGACCAGAACTTCTCTCCATCAGGACCAACACCTCTCTCCATCAGGACCAGAACCTCTCTCCATCAGGACCAGAACCTCTCTCCATCAGGACCAGAACCTCTCTCCATCAGGACCAGAACCTCTCTCCATCAGGACCAGAACCTCTCTCCATCAGGACCAGAACTTCTCTCCATCAGGACCAGACACCTCTCTCCATCAGGACCAGAACCTCTCTCCATCAGGACCAGAACCTCTCTCCATCAGGACCAGAACCTCTCTCCATCAGGACCAGAACTTCTCTCCATCAGGACCAACACCTCTCTCCATCAGGACCAGAACCTCTCTCCATCAGGACCAGAACCTCTCTCCATCAGGACCAGAACCTCTCTCCATCAGGACCAGAACTTCTCTCCATCAGGACCAGAACCTCTCTCCATCAGGACCAACACCTCTCTCCATCAGGACCAGAACCTCTCTCCATGAGGACCAGAACTTCTCTCCATCAGGACCAACACCTCTCTCCATCAGGACCAGAACCTCTCGCCACCTGAACAGTTTCTTCCCCTCTGCTACCGGCCTCTTAAACAAGGCCCGGCCCCCCCACAGCCACAACGTAGACTCTATATGCATCACATTAATGCACACAATGTTCATACTGCTTACTGCACATATTTCTTGTTTCATAACAACATTCATAGCATTCTATTTCCATGTAAATTACTGCTTTATTTTATTGCTATTTAACTATATTTTATTACGGTGTCCTTAAAGATTTTTTGCTTTATATTAGATTTCTTTGTTATGTCTGCACCATGACATCAAGTCAAATTCCTCGTATGTGTGAACCTACCTGGCAATAAACCTGTTTCTGATTCTGATCAGGCATTTTCTCAGGTGAGGGGTCTTCGCTATAATTTGAGACCATTTGACGAACCAGAGGCTAATGTAGGCTTAAAAGTAGGATATAAAAAAAGTATACATCTGGGCAATACATAAATATTATATGATATTGTGATATGAGACAAGATATTGAGTTTGAATATCTAAAACAATATGAGTGTTGTTTTTCCCCGATTTCAAAGACTACATTATGTCGTTTTTATATTTCTATCATTTGTTTAATCGCCAAGTCATTAAATCCACTGTACTGATCAGAATTGACCAAAATCCTATCGTGGAAATATTAAATAATAGCACCAATAGTCAACCTAACAATATCGTTGAAACATCGATAAAGTATTTGGCCAGAAATATCATAATATCTGATTTTCTACAAATGGCTTAGACCTATATACCCACTGCATTTTGTGCATGTCCATAGTGTGTACAGTGGGGTGCTGTTGTCCACCAGTCAGCGTGTGTGTGTGTGTGTGTGTGTGTGTGTGTGTGTGTGTGTGTGTGTGTGTGTGTGTGTGTGTGTGTGTGTGTGTGTGTGTGTGTGTGTGTGTGTGTGTGTGTGTGTGTGTGTGTGTGTGTGTGTGTGTGTGTGTGTGTGTGTAACTACTGCCATTATAATTCTGGGCAGGTGATCAGACTTGACCCCCACCAACTATGTCTGGCCCGCCAGCCAAGATCGTGTGCCAAGTGTCTGGTGCTGCCCGACTCCCCACTGGCTGGTTAATGAAGGGCTTCGTGGGGGGAGAGAAGACGCGGGGGAGAGAGAGAAGAAGAGGGGGAGAGGGAGGATGGGGATTTAGGGGTGGGCCTCCCCTAAATTGCAGGCCTGTATCGGGCCAGCTGTTGATTCACAGCTCCGTCTGCACCACAACAAACATAAGGGCCACACAAGGGCCGTCCCGGGCAGAGTGGGACAAAAAAAACGGCAAGAAAAAATAAAAAAAAAGAAGCCTGGCAGTCAATTTCTCCACTGTCGCTACGGAAACAGAGCTGTCTCTATTGGGACTGAGGAGCGTCTGACTACATTCTTCTCTATCTCCCTCCTTTATGCTTTCTCCATTATCTCCCCGCTCATCCCCCCGGCTTCTTCTTCCTCGGTTCTTCCTCCCGCTCTCACCTGCTCTTCTGGAACAAATCAACAGCTGTCTGACTGAGCAAGTGCACTGGCTGTAAAACAAGCCACTGTTCCCCAGGCTGCAGCCATTTGTCTGTCTGCTAATTCAAAAGGTGAGACAGCGACTTCCTCCGCAGGCCTTTCATGCTGCTGGCCAACCACATATATCTCACAGTGAAATGCACCACAATGCTCGATTCTAAGTCCAAAAGAAAAACCAAAGCACTGACCACAATCTGTCCTGCAGCCTCCAGAGGATACACGCATTTACAACAACTCTGCACCACACTGCTGTGAATGACCCAAGGGTGTCCTGCAGAACAGAAGGTCCTTTCAGAGAGGTGCAAAGGATAGCTTTGCCAAGATATCAATGAGTGTTTGCCCCCGTAATGCCGCTCTCATCAGCCACAGAGGGACCTGTTAGCAGTAACGTAGCATTAGCAGGTTGCAAACAGACCATGACAAGAGGACAAACCAAGCTCTTTCTTCCTGCACAGAAAAACTAGACTATTTGTATTCTAATTACAGTCACCTTGGCTCTGAAACAAACAAAGGTAGTGTCTCACGCTACTAATACAATCCTCAATTGTTGCCAAGGAGCATTCTTCCCATTCAGTGGAATTAAACGTGCTCTTATCACCTGGTAACCTCATTTTGGGACCTTGTTTGGGATTTTTAAACCTGCTCTACAAGACCAAAATCAGCAGGAGGGTTTCCTTTCAAAGCAACAATGCACGGGTCTGACAGGTACACGTGTGCGTGTGCAGGAACAGAAGGAAGGAGAAGGAGTCAGAGCATCTGAGGAGAGACTTTGAGGCTGAGCGAAACACATTGGTGTGACTAATGTGGAGCAAAGGAGTTCTTTGACATCAATCAGGTGCCACAGTTGATAATAAAAGCAACTTAGAATCTCAGTCAAATTACTACTTAGACACCCATTTTCAAAAATCACCTCTTAGTTGATGCAAAACCGTATTCAACATGTACAATGCTCCGTACTACTCTTAACTCTCATGTGATCTAAGGGCCACTTTCTGCACAAAATACAGTTTTGATAAGGATGTTATCAAAATAATTCATGCGAAAATCCCTTTAGTTTTTGATTTCCCAACAACACAGCTGTGTGTTTGCAACTTCCAATCATATCCACTTGCAAGTTTTGACCAAAGAAAATCAAAATACCTACCAAAATATTCCTTTTTCATGTGCATCTCTAACTCCTTCTCCAGCTCCAGGGTGAGGGCCTCCAGCCTCCGCTCCGCCTGGCTGGGTCCGCTCTCTCTGCTGGGGGTCACCTGGTAGGGCATCTTAAACCTCTGGCTGGAAGCTGTCTTTGTTGCCACTCCGTAACAAAACGATGACGGAGACCCCGCGATCATCTCCACTGTCCCTGCCTGCTGGGGGGCCTGCTGCTGGGGCTCCGGCACCGCAGAGAGCCCCTGTAGGTGGATCCGGTTCTGGATCCCGTTGGAGTCTCCATACTCCTGCAGCAGCGTGTCCTCGTGCAGACCGCTGCCCAGCATGGAGGACCGGGGGGAGGGCAGCTGCAGGTCTGGGTAGGTGCTCATAGACCCCCTGGAGCTGCGGGAGCTCCTGGAGCTGTGGCTGGAGATGCTGGACCGGGGGCTCACCACACAGTTTGCAGAAGTCCCGGGTCTGGCACTCCCGTCCTATCAAAGATTCAAAGGCTTTATTGACATATGAACTGTAGCTACAGTGTAGTTACGGCAATGTCCCGTGCTTCTCCAACAGTAGAACATCAATATATCAAAGACATAATTTAGAAATAGTGCAAGAAGAGTAGAAATTAAATCTGCATGTGCAAGTAGAGCAGGAGAAGTGAAATATATACAATATATCATGTCAAATCAAATAAGCTAAATGTAGCAGAAAACTTCAGCCCACTTTCCAAGCCTCAAGGATCCTTCTCAGGACATTATGCCCCCTGCCACCGTTCTGTATTTGTTTTTAATACAACGATATTTTTAATGTAACCAGCAGAAGAACAAAGCCCTCTGTATTTCTATTAAGAATGCAACTCAGAGTCATTTTTATATGCAATTTCCCTTTTTGTGTGCATTTATTGTATGTTGTACTGTGAGTGTTGTTTTATGTTATTGCCAAAGACAAGTTTCCATTATATGTATTCTGAATCTGAATGTTGCAGATTCAATGTGGTCAATGTACATGTCAAAATAGAATCAGATAAGCAAGGGCAGAATGTACAAATTAATACTTTTTTAAAAAAAAATACAAATAGCGCAAGGAAGAAACTGAGTAGAAATGAAATAGTGCAAAATAAAGTTGCAAGACCAATGTGCAGGTAATGCAGAAGTGAAAAATATACATGTCCAATAAATTGTTGCACGTGACCAAGTACATGTAGGACTCTATTTGCATGTAAAACAGAATCAGATAAACAAGAACAGAATGTACAATTAAAGTTAAATACCTGGCTGCAGATGCTCGACCGAGGGCTGGCCAGAGGGGCTCCGTGTAGAATCGCCCCCTCCAGGTCATGGTTGCCCGAGGGCCCGTACCGTGAGTCCGAGTAACTGGACCGGGGGCTGGTGGTGAAGGAGTACTGGCTGGCCGTGCTGGACCGGGGGCTCGCGTGCCTTTGGTCGTAGCCCATGCTGATGCCACTGGTTCTGTTGCTGCTGGGTTTGCTGCAGCAGTCGCAGCTGTTGAGGCTGGCCCGCGGGCTGGAGTGTTTGCTGGTGTCGCTGGCGGTGCTTGCATAGCTGGATCTGGGGCTTTGCACACCCTCACAGTGCACTAAACTCGACCTGGGGCTGGTGTACCTGTCCTGGCCCGGCACCACCAGACTAGTGCGTGGGCTGCTGAGGCTCGACCTCGGGCTCGCATGCTTGCTCTGCTCCTGGGAGGACAGGGACGATGCTAGGCTGGACCGGGGGCTGGTGGGGTTGTATCTCCCGTCGTGGCTGCTGGTGATGCAGACGCTGTTACACCTGTTGCCGGGCACTGCAGCCGGTTTGTTGAGAGGCACGCCGTCGAAGGTGGACCCGGTGCTGTACCTGTGGCCCTGCACCTCCAGAGAGTACCTCCGGTGCCTCTCTGAAGCCCCGGTGTAGCACGGCAGAGCCACTTCGGATTTGGTGCAGCAGCCCTCGTCTGCGTAACCCGCGTCTCTCTGCGGGGCACAGAAATCCACCGGCACGGTCCGGCTGCAGTTGACCGGGCGCACCGGAGCCGCCGTGTACACTTTATTCCCAGTCGTGAAATTCTCCACGGTGTGATGCTGCTGGTGCAACACAGAGGTGCCATTCATTGGCTTACTTTTATGCTCTGCTACCGCCGGAGCAGAAAAGTCTAAATCGGGGTTAATCACCAAGTCTCTCCTCGCATACATCCCGTCTTTATACGCATCGTACAGGGAAAGATCCTCCATCAGTTTGCTGGCCCGGAGTCCCAGATCCTCCTGGTAGTGCTCCATGTTGTGAGAAACAAGTTGAGAGTGTGCTCCGCTCCGCAGACTAGCGAGCACCGCGGAGCACTAATTGCATTTCACATGGAAATCAAAACAAAACGCCGCGGTACAGCCGTCGCTCATTTACAAAGAAATAAACCTCCAACGCAGTCTATAAACCTCCACCGTGTGCCGCATCGTCTTCCTGTGCTTTGCCCCCTTCGCCGAAGAAACAAACTCTTTCTCACAGTTTTCAGCCGACAGGGATACGTTTGTCAACTTCAGTTTTTGTTAAGTTGAAAGGTCTTTACAGTCAATGGCGCGCTGCGCGGAGGAATTTACCCTTGTTGGTTTTTCCTCTAGTTTCGCGTACGATCCCTTTGCCTCAAATCAAAGTAGCCAGGATAATCGGATACGCCTTAAATATCCGTTGTATGTAAGTCTGAGCCCAGTAAGCGTGCGGAAATCTAAATAAAACAGCGTTTTACACAGGGGACTCGTTTGCGTAAAAGGAATGCGGGGATGAAGACAGGATGCGCTGCGCCTCTCTGGAATGTGGTTAATGCTGCAGAGAAACAATGATTGCGACCAACTCAGCAAGGGGCTGCCGGCTCTGAAAAGAGAATAGTTTAGAGAGAAGGGGACGTCTGCATTCATCCCAGGCAGACTCAAATACCGCTCAAAGCACGCCTCACCTGGTCCGACTCCTTTTACACCAGGAATAATCTGCAGGGACTTTGTAATAAGGAGGGAAAGGCTATTTATATATAAACTCAAGTTTATCCACATTTCTTTAAGTGCAATGATATAAAGATAAAGATTCTCAGATCACCATAACTCGAGTGCATAAGATCCAGATGAATATAATGTGTAATTATCCAAGTTAAATCAGAATAATTTGTTTTGCAAAGTAGGTTTGCCCATACAGGGAAGATGCTTTGGCGTGGAATGTGCAAAAAGACAACATTAGATTTAAAATGGTATAAAAACGATCATGATAAAAAAATTAATTTAGTTGAATAAAAACAGGAAATATAAATAAAAAATCCGTATGTATGTGAAGTACAATATAAATATAAAAGTGGTAGAGCTGTGCAGAAATGTGCCAAGTATAGGTTTTTAAAGAATATTAAGATGTCTGCAACAAAGCAAAGAACACAAAGGACATATAGCAAAGGATTATTCTCTGTTTGTAATGGGCTGCACAAATGTATTCAACGTTGAGTAGAACTAAACTGATTGCAGAGCAAGGATCATTCACAAAAGGAAACTACAAAGCTGTGGAAATAAATGTTTGTCCATGATAACAAATGGAGGTCATGTTTAACTTTGTATTTAGTCAATTATTCCTGTGAGATTGGGATATAAAGATATAAGGATAATACATCAGGATCCTAGAACATCGCTTACCTGTTTACATAACATTTAAAAACCACCATGAATGCAGGTATAGTTTTCAGAACATTCCTTTGTATTTGATTTATTACAGCTCCACAAAAGCAGCATTAAAAACATGTCTGTATTATTCGAAGCTTATGGTAAAAAGAGGTAGTATTTCTAACAGCAGCCATATAGGATGTTAAATGAAGACTTTACATTACAGAGACCATTTACTTATGTTCACATTTGTTGGCTGTATAAAAAGGTGTGTTTAAGTCTGAAGCACCTGCCATGTACCGACTGATTATGTAATCAAATGTGTCCATGGACCTTAAGACGTCTGATTTGTTTTGCTTAGCTGCTTATCAACTGCCAACAAATGGAAGAAAAGACAGAGCCACGGCAACAAGGGCAGCACAAACCAGGAAGTCCAGTATCAATCGACCGAAGAAGGAGCTTTGAGATTTCTTCCCATGGCCTCTGCTTCTGAACCATCGCACCACCTCGTCCAGGTTGTACTCCTGGGGCTCATAACCGAGCTCCTCCTTGGCTTTGGCCATGCTGAAGTAATGCGTCACGCCGGTCTTATACACCTCAGTACGTGTCAACAGGGGCTGGAAGTTATAGACGGGCCCGATGAGGAGGTGAATCATCTCTGTGAGGAAGGCCACAAAGTAGATGAGAGAGACGGGAAGGCGCAGTTTGGGGAAAGGATACCCTAAACCCTCAACTAGAGGTCTGAAGAACTCAAAGTTGTTGACGGGCCTGCCATCTGAGATAAAGTAGGCCTGGCCAGAAGATCGGTGCTGCTTCTCTGAGGTCAGAGCCTCTGCTGCGAGCTCATGTGCAGACACCAGGTTGTCCACATGCACAAACTCCACCAAACTCTTAGGATCTCCGTACACAAACCTGAAGATCCCCTTCTCTATGTAGCCAACTATCCGGGGCAGGTGCCTCTGCTCGCCCGGCCCGTAGATCCCTGCAGGACGCAGAGCACAGCTTCTCAGCACCCCGGCACCTTCCTTCAGAGCTGTGCCGTTAGCTTTCAGCACTGCCATCTCCGCCAGAGACTTGGTTCTGGAGTAGTGGTCGGGGTGGAGGTGCAGAGGAAGATAAGGGAGGCTTTCATCCCCGTTCTCGATCACTTGGCCCCCGAACACCACGTTAAAGGTGCTGGTGTAAACGAGCCGGGACACTCCGTGCTCAATGCAGGCCTGCAGGACGTTCTGTGTGCCCTGAACGTTCACCGCCTCGATCAGGTGCCGGTTCAGCTGCTCCCTGCCAGACATGCCATAGGAGGCCAGGTGGAACACACAGTCTGCACCAGCCATGGCCTTCTCAACTTGTGCATACTCACGAATATCTCCTTGAACAAACATAATGTCCTCTGGCAGCTCTTGCTTTGGAGAGATTGTGTCGAACAGGATGATTTTGGCTCCTTTTGTATGCAGGGAGCATGCCAGGCTGCAGGGGGGAACACATTATTTAATATGAACCTATCTATGCACAACAAGTCCTTATTTAAAATCACAAGTGCACAAAATACGTCATAAATAAGAAGAAATTGCATGCATCTCTACTTGTTAAACCAACCACAGGTCTGTAACATTAGATTAAATCTAAAAATAATAACTGATGCAATAGCGCCACCTTGTTGTGGTAAAGCAGTGTAACAGCGCAGAGACACTGAAACCATTACTTTGTTTACTGACAGTGAATGCGAAATTTTTTTGCAATAAAGAAAGTTGTTCTTACCGATAACCAAAATAGCCACATCCCCCAGTTATCAAACACGTGTCTGTTCGTGCATTTGTCATTGCAGGAGGAAGAATCTGTGTGTTTAAAACAGATTGGGTTATGCACAATTGAATAACAACAAAGTATACTTACATGTTTAGAAAGAATATATGAAAACAACATGGTTAAAGTAAAAAATAATACAGTTACAAACAAAGAAACAACAAAATAAAAGCTGCAAAGTTGACGTTACCTAACCTGCAGTCTGCAGGCTGACTAAATGGACAATACTTGAATAAATGTGCATGTTATGTAATAAACTGAATGCATAAACGTTACCTGCCACAGCTATTTTCAATAAGGGGTTATTCAAGATGCCATGCCTCAAACTGTTCTACAAACTAGCTTAAGTGTGCTACATGCTCGTACAGTAATTTAAATCAAAACCGATATTGTATTATAAACTAAATAAATTCACGTGTTTACTGTTGGTACCAACCTGATCATTCACTGAGTAGAAAAAGAGGTAAATGTGAGTTGAATATCACGTTTTAAAAACTCTACTACAAGCACCGGCGTGCACTTCCTTGGTCCGTGCTGTACGTGCTTATGTTACGTAACGTACGTAAATAACATCGAGCATCTGCGTCAAGTTTACGTAAAGGCAGAAAAATACCGGAAGTTTTTCTATGCATTTTTTGCGATTTCAGATCAAAAACATCCACAGCAAAAATTAATGATTTTTAAATAATTTATATTTTATAATTGTACAATTAACGTGTGATTAAATGTTTAGTATTTGGAATCTCTCATCGAATGCATTATCATTTCGGTTTCCGCCGATTGTGCTTTTACTTTGAAGGATGTAACCGGAAGCATTAATATAAATACATGAATATGCGTTCTGCCAGCAACATAATAACTTCCTATGTGCAAGTCGTGCCTTCAGAATAAAAGCAGAGACATTTAAAAAAGACATTTTAAATTGTAATGTAGTACAATTTTGTTTAACTAATACAACGAAACATCTTATTACTAATTGGTCATGAAAAGCCATAATAAACGTCATTACGTCAAGTCACTGGCACTACTAGTCATGGGCGTCACTTTGTTAGAAAAAGAGGTGGGGACAATTATCCAGATTTAACATCAGCATAGCAGAAGACAACCGATGTTCTCCTAACCATCTTTGTTGCATTGAATGTATGAAAAGAGTGTAATGCTTGCAACATTCCAATAAAGTTTGAAACAAATAAAATATTGTAATTGTTGGGGAAATATTTTCCAAGGCCCATAACTTTGACCCAGTTTGTCAGTTTAAACTGTCCTGACTGTAACCTTGGCTGCTGGGCTCTCAGTGTTTTGTCTCCCTCTTCCTGCCTGTTGGCGTCAGCTGATAGAGGTGTTATGATTCTATCTTGTTATGCACAATGCTGATTATTCTCTCAGAAATACATGGGTCTGGGGTAGAGTTCTTCAGAATTGATTGTGGCATCTCAACCGTGTGGTCAACTCGTGGCCCGTGACATGTCGTGTGAATTCTCCGGCCGAAGCTCCAAATAAACCGTCAGTGTTTGCCATCAAAGCTCCAGCTCTCCATTGTGTCTCTTTGAGTCCTGACTCCCAAATGCTTCAGAAGATTCCCCCACAGTAATACTGATTTAGGACAAGTTTTTCCATTCTTCTAAACGATAAAATATATTTGTAATGAAGGTTATAATAAATGAACGAAAGCATGTTTGTAATATGTAGTTATAACATTATAAAAGTCATATACAAGCGGCCGAGATGGGTTTTCTCCGCAGGGTGGCTGGTGTCTCCCTTAGGGATAAGGTGAGAAGTTCGGTCATCAGGGAGGGACTCGGAGTTGAGCCGCTCCTCCTTCGCGTCGAAAGGAGCCAGTTGAGGTGGTTCGGGCACCTAGTTAGGATGCCACCTGGGCGCCTCCCTAGGGAGGTGTTCCAGGCACGTCCAGCTGGGAAGAGACCAAGGGGTAGACCTAGGACCAGGTGGAGGGATTATATCTCTTCGCTGGCCTGGGAGCGCCTTGGGATCCCTCAGTCAGAGCTGGTTGATGTCGCCAGGGAAAAGAACGTTTGGGGCTCTCTGCTGGAACTGCTACCCCCGCGACCCGACCACGGATAAGCGGGAGAAGATGGATGGATGGATGAAAAGTCATATAAAAGTCTCGGGAAAAAAACTGAAATCATTATATTAATAATTGTGTTGTGTTCTTTGCACACGTATTTCAATGTGCTCCTGTTTTGTGCTGTCTTCAAATATATTTATCATATCAGCGTAAAGTATTTGTAATAAAAAGTAAAAAATAAATTAATAATAATAAAAAAAGACAAAAGATGTCCCTCCCCCTCCTGCATGAAATACCAATGCATATACCTCTGGACCACCACTGTGTTTTTTAACTACACTGAACATCCAACTATTGGTCTTTCTTTGATGTGATTTGGATTTAATGTGTACCTT